AAAGTTCGGCCTGCTCGAACTTACTGCTTTTTAACTTGTTTTATTTCTGTTGGCTTTTTGTTTACCTTTGTTATGTCGACATAGACTAATGACGAACGAACCGCTTATCAACGCAAAAAAATGTATGAATTGCAGTATATTTATCAGTTAAACATTGTTCCATAATAAAGTATAAATGAAAATGACGTGATGCCATAGAAAAATATGTATTTTATAGTTGAGTAGGTCGACTGCGTCAATCAGCATGTTGACTATGCAAAAGCGACCTAAGAGCTACCTGCATAAAAAGACAAAACTAACTTTCAATTGTCTATGCATTCATTAGTCTATGATGTCGATTTTATTTTACAAAACCAACAACAAAATCATTTGTTTTGATTTGAGAGCGAGAAAAAATTACCAATGACATTATTGATGACACAACCGAAGTTCACGTACGCATAGAAGAGGAATTAGATTTACATTACCCATTATTGAAGACCCTTTAACAATATTAAATTATTAATATATGCATAGCAAATAATAATGTGGTTCCGTCTGAAATAGAAAAAGGAAATACAATACATAATTTTATATTCGTGCCTCCACATTTATATACCGATAATCAGGTAACACCATGTATTCATTTCAAAAGGCATTCAATAAAACAACTAAAACACAACATATCAAACACTTCCTATTGCAACATCGACACATTTTGGTAGAGGACAATGTACTGATCAATTTGAGAATTACTAATTTTATTACAGGGCCTACGACTATATTCTTTACCAAAAATGGCAATTCATAGGTTTTCTTATTTTTTATATATACCATGGTAGAATCAAGAAGGTAAACTCATGCAAACATATGTTTGCAATTTTTTCAAAATTATTCAATTGACAACATCTTATTGTCAAAATGTATATTTATAAATCCATTGTAAATACTCAAATCAGAGATGGAAACCCAGTAAAGTCATGCAAACATATGTTTGCAATTTTTTCAAAATTATTCAATTGACAACATCTTATTGTCAAAATGTATATTTATAAATCCATTGTAAATACTCAAATCAGAGATGGAAACCCAGTTTTTATGCAATGAAAGTTGACAAGGTAAATTACAGAAAATGCAAACGTGGGTATTCTTATTTGAAATGACTTTACCTTCTTAATTTAACCATGATATATACTGACTCTAATTTTTATTAACTTTTAGTGCTGCCAATTTCTTCTTGCATATAACTGTTATAACCTAGTTTATGGATACAATGACACAACCATACAGAACAAAATTGCTTATTCCACCCAATACTCTTCCAAGCAGATTGCCTTTTGCATTCATTAATACAACCGAAAGAAAAAATATATACATATGATTTACCAAAAGATTCTGTTGAAATTTTCAAAGATACTTAACTTCCGATATTGTGACAACCTTTCCATGCAGTTATATATTAGAAAATAAAGTTTCTTAAACCAAAACAAATTATAATTAGAAGCATGAAGACTTTTACAATATGTTGGGAATGATTCTTTCTTTCCATAACAACACTTGGAAATTGTACCCAACGTTTACAGTAGCCATGGTAAAATTAAGAATGTAAAGTCATTTCAAATAAGCATTCCCATCTCTGCATTTTTTGTAATTTATCTTGTCACATTTTACTGCATTAAAAAAATATTTTATTTTCTTTATTTCATTTATTTAGGAAACGTGGCCCAGTCCTTTTTGCAACATCGCTACAACAAAAAGTATAGGATAATTATTTTCAAATTCTGTATCGGGACGGGAAATGGGCTTGTTATTTTTAGAATTTTTAAGAATGAAATAAAATTAGTCTCCAATTTCATCCGCATAAGTGTTTCAATTTAAGTACCTATTTCTTTAGCGCGTTTTGCTGATTGATCCAGAAATTCATTCAAATGTATATTGGTATACCCGGATATAAGATGTACTTCGATGCCACCATTGAGTTTTAAAGAGGTAATCTTTATTTGATAAATTATATAGTTTCCTTTCGAATCACACTCAATAGCTTGAATCCCACTCAAATTATCGAGGAGAATTGCCACTTTATTAAGATTATTATTTATAGCGTATTACAGCGCTTATATTACTTCTACTAGCTCAACAGACATGGATGATATATATTTTTGATGAGAAAACAATTCCTGAACTTTTACGGACAAAAGCTAACTAGCGCAATGTTTTAAAACCGAACCATCTGTAAAAATTATTTCAAAATTATCCTTCTTTAGTTGTTCCATATTTTGTTGAAAAAATTGTTGAATGACACAGGTTTATAATGGTTTCTCTAATAGAAGAAGTATAAACAATTGCAGCTGATAAACTCTGCTTCTTCTTTTTTTCTTTATTCTTTTAATTGTTGTGAAGTGTGCAATTTAGATAGTAGCTGAAAGAAGTAAACAGATTTGCAAAAGACAGAAAATAGGGGGGTACCATTATATGGGTGCTATACCAAAACGTGGACATACATGGCCCATTTTCAATGCCAAAAGTATGGCAGAGATAATATACATTTGAGTAAAATTTTATCAACCTACTTCATTTCGTTCGGAAGCTGTAGTGATTTCCACAGACGGACGGATGGACAAAATCGACATAGAATTTTATGCTGATCAAGAATATATATACTTTGTGGGGTCTAAAACGTATATTTCGATGTGTTACAAACGGAATAACATATTTAATATACCTTCCATACTATGGTGAAGGGTATAAAAATATTCGGGAGACAACAGAAAACAGTTGTGGTGAAAGTCGTGATTCTTATTTTGTGGGGTCTGGGGTTTTAAAATAAATATTTTTTTATATTCAGATATTATATCAGCTTTAGAACATGGAAACGTATAAATCATAAACATACGATATTCGCCCTAACAAGGCAAAACTACAAAATTGAGAAACGCTTTTTAACGGCAATCCAAAGAAGTTCAAGCAGACAAGTCCCACTAGTCAAATAAAGCCATGAAAGTAAAACTATAATGACGAGGCTATAATAATTTTTATTAATACGATAAGTTTTTCTTTGTTAAGTACCCAATTGAAACAAATTTACAAGTCTTTTCTTAAAGTAGGTTAGTTTGAAAAGAAGGGCTAAAACGATCGCCACATGTCCTTGTGGGCATACACTTAAGCCAGTATAGGCCTGAGGCAAATCACCGCAGACGAAATCGAGTACTTCAGCATTGTAATGTAGTTTACGCCGATCACCGCAGTCGTTATCGAATTGTTTTTACTCGAAGTTGTACACGAAGTTGTATGCTATCGAAAACAAAGTATGTAGTTATTTTTATGCGGATATAAAAGCAAAAAGAAACAAGGACTTGGTGAAAGTATAAGTTTTATTCTATTTTAAATAGAATCACTTACACCTCTTCAGACAATGTTAAAGGACTAAATTTGTCACGAATATTTTTCCTTATTAATACTCATGCTCTGAGTCCGAAGACGAGGAAAACAAAAAAACACTTGCATTCATAACACATTTGTCCCCATTTATTTCAACACATCCCATTTATTTAAAATTTTCAGAAATAACATATTTTGATCGCAAAAACTTATTTTGAAATTCTTATTAAAGACTAGCACAAGACGAATTGTATTAATTATGCTTTTTTTAACACACTGACTTTGTCTATTCAATCATGTGTTAAGTATTTGCTCAACATTGACCCCCAACAACAACATTCATTTTGACTCATGTCTGGCACTGTCAAAGGTTCGATTGTGGCTTGATCGACTCGACCAGTTGCATGGTGTTCTCAAAAAAAGCAGTATGTCGACGATGACAGCGAACCATGTCTTCGACATAATGGTGTGTCATTTGTGTACGTGTGCTCAAATTGAGTTTGCGTGTGTGTGTGTGTTACTCCGACTGTAGGGGAGAATTTGTGTGTGCGTTGTTATTGTGAAGTAATAAACACATTTAGAAATATAAAATGCGTATGTTTGCAATTTTGGACGGGGTCTGACACTCACTGAAGAAAAAGGTTTCAACTTTTAAGTACGAAAATATGCTGAAATTTTATTTTTGGCATCTTCATAAAATTCTTATCATAAAACATAAGATAAATTTTAAATTAAATTTATGAATTAGCTTCTTATATAACTGAGGTATACGTTCGATAAATACTCTGTTCCAGAACCTGTAAGAATCTACTAGTTTTGCAATTTTGTCGATAATATCTGGTACAAGCTTGCAGTTCTGGAACAGAGCAAAAATTGATAGTATTCTTCAATAATCAAATCAATTTTATAAATCAAATAAATAATTATTGTTGCTAGTTTTTGAAAGAACACATTTGTATGACACACTATTCAACATCCTCATTTATTGGTCAATGCGTGTTATAACGATGGGTTTGAGTCTGACCGACATGACGAGACATCGAGCATTTGGCTGGATGTCACGTACTGTTATGCGTTTGATCAAACAGGGCATAACATGACGAGCGTTTTCTGTCCATTGCATAAACAGAGAAATATGTCGCATTTGCAACCCTTTAATTTTTCATTATTACCACATGTTTACAGCAAAGTAAAAAAGTAGTAGGCAAAATAAATTGCGATCGAATGCGGTGATCTAAAAAATTACAGTCATTATCGTGGACAACGCCATCGCATACGGTTGCTCTCGCAAGTGTTCGGATTGTGAATTAAGTGAAAAAAGTGACGCTATCGTTTGTGTAATTTTTTTAAAACGTAATTAAAGAAAAATAATTAAAAAATTCATGTTTTCACGTGAAAAACATTAAAAATTCTATTAAAGCTTACGATTTAAAAGAAAAACTTTGTTTTGTGAATTTTATCAAAGTGACGCTACAATTTTTATTATGCATTAAATGCAAAATCAAGTACAAGCTGTACTTGTACAAAATTAACTTTTTACTTTCGTGCCGAATACACAAAAATATGTGCAGAAATTAATTTAAAGTGTTTCAAATTCAAAATAAATAAACTTTTATCTAAAAAACTTTCAATTTTTCTCAATTTTTCTGATAACAATTTCCGCCAAACACGTGTTTAGATTCGTAAAACATTCAAGCATAGACGTAGCTGTACTGTTCATGTAACGGGATCTCTGTGGCGTCAGTATACAGAAACTGACACGCAGATTAGCACAAAAGCTAAAAGTGAAAACCACAAAACTTCATCATGGAGGAGGACGTGGTCATCCCTCCACCTCCATTGTCGCCGCGTAGGCAAACCACCAAAAAAGATAAACCGAAAATTAACCGCAACAGTAGTCGAAGTGGGAACAGAGTGGACGTCAATAAGAAGAAAAAACTGGAAGATGACGAACAACAGGGGAGTTTAGCGAAATGCGACGACGCCCCAACTACTAGCCTTTTTGAATCCAACCCAAATATTACAGGTAACATCTCCACAGGTAAGACCTTGCAATCATTGGTTAACAGCCCTAACAACCATAATTTCTTTTACGATTAAGACACGGTGCTAAATAACATCAATGAACTAACCTCCGAAAAAATCGGTAAGTTAAACGAAGCACAAACAACAACACTCAAGAATATCAAAGAAAAAATTTTAAACGAAATACTTAATTTTGATTTCCTCTTGGTTAATCCTAACAGGAACCCTAAAGAAAATACCAGCATCATCCAGGAGATTATCTCCACCAATTCCAAATAAACCATCATGGCACTCAAAATGCTACAGTACAATATACAAAGCATAAACAAAATCGAAAATAAAAACATCTTAGAACTCTTTCTTGAAAACGAAAAAATTGGCATTGCTCTTCTAATTGAAACCTGGGTCAGAGATGAAACAAGTACCAATCTTTGCAACTATAATTTCTATGGAAAAAAAGAGATGATGGTTACGGTGGTGTAGGCATCTATATTAAGCGCAGTTTTAAATATTCACTCATTAATTTTGACAATGAACATGAGGTAATTGGCATCTCTATTATGAATATCAAAAATCCCTTCAATATTGTTGTTGTTTACATACCTCCTAACTCAAATAGATCTAATTATATAGACATAATTACTGATGTTTTTCCGAAAATCAATTGTCTTAAACATCCTACCTTACTTGTTGGTGATTTCAACGCAAAATCCATCTCTTGGGAAAATACCCACACTGATCCTTTAGGTGATGTACTTGCCAGACTTGCTGATATCAACAACTTCTAATGTCTCAACACTGGTGAACCCACTTTTGTTTTAAATAACACTCATTCGGCCATTGACATCGCTTTTTCCAACAGTACTTTTTTCAACTTTTCTTGGTCAGTCAGACATAGTAAAATCACCAATAGTAACCACCTACCTATCATCATCGAAACCTGTAACAAAACAGCCATCAAAAATGGCAAAATACAACACAAAGAGAACCTCTTCAACGATATCAGAAGTATTATTGTTGAGGACAACTTCCAACAAACCAATATCAAGATAAACCAAGCCATATCTCGGAATACAATTGTGGTGGACTCAAATAATAAATATGTACCCAAACCATGGTGGAACTCCCAAGTAAATAATCTCTATAATGAAAGAACTACACTCAGAGAAATCTATCAAAGAACCAATTCATTTACTGATGCCTGTAATTTAGCGAGAACTGAAAGGAAATTTTACAATCTCATTGCCAAATTAAAAAAGAAAAACTTTAAAAAGTTACAAAGCGACATATCTGGGAATGTCCCCATTAAAGAGGTATGGTCTAAAATGAATAATGTTAAAAAATATCAAAGAATAAAGTCACCTAATAATATTTGGAGTGACGAACAGAATGAAAAATTCTTAGAACACATAACTAGCTCTTCACGTATCTGTTCAAAACCAACCTCCGTTGGTCTTATGTGTGCCCCCCAAAAAATATTTGAAGCCGCGCTCAAACCTTTAATATTAGAATACATAGAGATCAAGAAAATAGTTCCAAAAAGTTCTTATGCCTTCTCATTGGGTAAATCCACCACAAACTGTATTAACGACCTAGTTATCACAATTGAAATTCACAAGCAAAACAAAAATACTGTTGTTGGTGCATGCATTGACATCGGGAAAGCTTTTGACAACACTGATATTGGTAAACTGGCTCTTTTTAAATCTGGACTTAACACTCACATCATAAAATGGATCTATGATGGCATGTCACAGAGAACATTATTACTGGGTAACAAATCCATATCAGTTTGTAATGGAATTCCTCAAGGCAGCGGTTTGAGCCCCATACTTTTCAACATCTACACTGCTTCGCTACACCAAATAATTGACGATAACTGCAATTTTTTTTAGTTTGCTGATGATTTTTTCATCGTTTGACATGAGAAAACCATCAACAATGCCATACCTATGCTGCAAAGCAAGATAAACGAATTTCAGGAATTATGTGGTAAATTATCCTTACAGTTTAATATGGAACATAGAGATCAAGAAAATAGTTCCAAAAAGTTCTTATGCCTTCTCATTGGGTAAATCCACCACAAACTGTATTAACGACCTAGTTATCACAATTGAAATTCACAAGCAAAACAAAAATACTGTTGTTGGTGCATGCATTGACATCGGGAAAGCTTTTGACAACACTGATATTGGTAAACTGGCTCTTTTTAAATCTGGACTTAACACTCACATCATAAAATGGATCTATGATGGCATGTCACAGAGAACATTATTACTGGGTAACAAATCCATATCAGTTTGTAATGGAATTCCTCAAGGCAGCGGTTTGAGCCCCATACTTTTCAACATCTACACTGCTTCGCTACACCAAATAATTGACGATAACTGCAATTTTTTTTAGTTTGCTGATGATTTTTTCATCGTTTGACATGAGAAAACCATCAACAATGCCATACCTATGCTGCAAAGCAAGATAAACGAATTTCAGGAATTATGTGGTAAATTATCCTTACAGTTTAATATGGAAAAGATTAATACTGTCCACTTTAGCAGGAAACCTCAATAACTTGGTATCATTATTAACAACATCTGATTAAGTCAAACAAATACAATTAAATATCTTGGCGTAACTATCACCTCTAGTGGTTCCGCTAAAGTACATATGAATGAATCAACATCTGCCATCAAAATCAGCTGCAAATTCTTAAAAATTCTGAGTGGTTGCAAATTTGGTATTAGTCCATCTAGAGCGTTACATTTCTACAAGCCTTTGTCAGATCCAAAATTGAATATGGCGCATCGTCCTTATCAAATTTTGCAAAGGAATCCGAAAATAAACTCAAAACATGCATTCAAGAAAGTCTCAGAAAAGCCCTTGGACTTATAAGATCAACTCCCACTGCCATTATCTATAATTTATCATGTGACCTTCCTCCCAGCTACAGGTTCCAACTTGCTACTGCCAAGGAACTTGCTAAATGCGTTGCATTTAACCTTCCTGGCGCTGAAATCATAAGAATCAATACAAGCATAAATACCAGATATGCCAAGGTATGGACAAAAGTCCTAACACTACGATAATCAATGTTGACACTTGCTTTTTCAAGGGAACCAATTTTAAAAAAGAGGAGGCCAATCATGAAATAATAACCGCAATTGCCACTGAAAAAATTAATAATCTCAGGAATGCTGGTTACGAGATCTTCTCCACTGATGGCTAAGTCAACAACAATACTATTGGGGTTGCCATTAATCAAATATCGAATACACTCAGGAACAAATGGAGCAGTGAATATCATGAAATAGGTAATTCTCACTTTTACAAAATTTTCCCTTCTCTATCCAGAACACCTTGGTTAATTGTAAATTTAATTCTTTCTCTCAAAAACAGATAAATCGTGTACTTAGCGGCCATTGTTTTTGCAATAATACACTAGCCAAAATGAATGTTGTTGCATTCAATTTATGGAATGATTGCGGGGTTGATGAAACTGCTTCCCACATTGTTTTTGAATGCAGTAAGTATAATACCAAACGGAGATGTTTCCTAGCACTATGCGATTTCTTCACCGTTGAAGATTTCGTAAATTCACAAAGCTCAGAGCGTCTGAACATAGTAGCTAAATTCCTCAAAGAAGCTGAAATCGACATATAAATATTGCCAGCACTGAACAAATCGATTAAATTGTAGCATTGCTACACATGGATACATGGTACTAAACCTTCTATCCCTATAGAAAGTGGGCCAACCAAAATAATACATAAAAAAATTACAGCGGTCGAAATGTTTCCCTATACGAAACAGAACTCGATGACGAATGCAGTGATTTGGCCCCTGTTGTGCGCTCTTCTGTAAGTCGTGGCCGGCCTCGTGGTGACATTAAAAGCCAGTTCAGACACTGCAATTTTTCGGACCTCCGCTTGAAGGATCGTACTATGATCGGGCAAGCGGAAATAAAATAAAAGTCCCAGTCCTCATCTCCCCCCTAGAACTGAGACGTCTGTATAACAACAGTTTCCAGTCGGCATTTGAGATCCACATCCGTCGATCCACGAGTCTCTGCGGGTATTAATATTTCACAAGAGGCAGCTAAAATTTTTTCAGGTATCCGGTGCGATACAAGGTTTTCCATTGATTCTCCTGTTGTTACCTGTAATTTTTTTGACGGTATTTTTATTATTTATCCTCTCATTAGTTGCCCTCAGCCTTATGGCCCGACGCCGATTCATACAGTATATATTGGGTGAACATATAAAATTTGCTAATTATTTTAAATAAAAAGAAATAATTGTGACGCTGGCTGTGACGTGAGTTTCTCCTAGGAGGGATAGCGAATTTAACCACTGGCAACAAACCCAAACGACCAAAACAGAAACACCAACAATTTAATTTAATATGGGTTTATTGCTTAACTCGCGCGTTTATTTTTAATAAAAATATAAAATTAAAACTTACAAAAATATTATGAGCCACACAACTTACCGCAGTCTTTATCCCTCACGAACTAAATTTATTAAAAGGGCGAAAAAATAAACTACCATTAAATTATTTGCATTACAAAATTTCTAACGGTTTCGTTCCAACATAAAACCTGTTTTAAACGAACTCAATGCAATAGAATGAGAGGAAAAAAGGGCCTGCGACAAATAAGTAAATCAAAACATAGTAACACTCACATGCAATCATATGGATGGCTGTGTCAATGACGTCACACCGTCACCCATATGATGCTGTGTGGAAACTAATATAAAAGCGACAAAAATAAATAAACAAAATATATATGTTCAGCAGCGACAAACTGGATACACATTGCGGAGCGAACTTTGCTGAAATGTAAAGTTAATTGTGAGGCCATTTTGGAGAGTTTTTTTCTGGAATTTTTGTGGTGCTGAAAATTAAAGTGGAGCCATTTTGTGTGAAATTTTCTGAACAAGTTTGTGCTGCTAAAAAATTTAATTGCTGCCATTTTTAAATTGCTGTTTGCCGCCATTGAACCTGGTGTAAATTTGTGTGTGACATTTTGCTGCCATTTTTAGAATTTGCGAGTCCTGTTGTTCAATTGTTGTATGCTGGAAATATGATGCCGAGATCGCCACCAAATACAACAAAAACAAGTGCTAGTGGTCCTAAAGGTGTTCCAGTTAGTGCCTCCACGTCAGCCTGAGGGACAAATGTGCCTACCACTGCTGGAACTTCTGCAACACAATTTACACTTGCCGCCTCAAAAACAACAAAAAACAACAAGTGTTGCAGCAACAATTGGGGAACTCTCAGCGCGGGGAACTTCCAGCGGAACCCAGCCTGGTGTCGACACAAATCGCCCCAGTGTCACAACACAATCTTACGTAACCGCTCATCAGCCTACAGCCTTCCGTTATAGTCAGCCACCTCCTCTGCAACGTGCTCCGTCGCCCGTTGCCCAACCTACGCTGCCAACTTTTCTGCCTGCATCTCAGTCGTCCAGCCGTTTAATGCCGTCCAACAGCCGCCAAATTATAATAAAAAGTTATATGACTTGCCGAGTTTTAGTGGTGTTCCTGAAGACTGGCCAATGTTTTCAACAGCGTTTGAGCATTCGACGACAGCGTACCAATACAATAATTTTGAAAACTGTTTGCGATTGCAGAAGACATTAAAGGGTGATGCCAGAGAATGTGTAAAGTCGCAGCTCATACATTCCGATAATGTGAACACCGTGATGGAACAGCTGAAATTCAAATATGGCCGACCTGAATTGTTGATACGAGGGCAGTTGAATCAGGTGAGGGAAATTCCGTCCATTAGTGAAAACGCCATGGAAAAGTTGGTGCCTTTTGCAATAAAAGTACAAAATCTTGCCGCCTTGTTGGAAACAGCAAATGGTCATCAACATTTATCGAACTCCACACTAATGGATGAGTTAATTCAAAAGTTGCCCATGAGTAAGAGGTTGGAATGGGCTTAGAACTCATTGAACTTAGAGTCGTGGCCCACAGTTTTGGATTTTAATAATTGGTTGAAAGGTGTAGCAAATTTAGTTCGGAGTGTTCAGCTAACAACAACTCGCTCAACAGGTGAAACAAAGAAAAAAGTGGTTCTGTACGCATCTGATGAACAAGATAAAGAAGAAGAGTGCCGATTATGCCGAGGACAACACAAATGGTTTGACTGTAAGAAATTCCATTCCATGTCAGTGCGAATAGATGGAAGGAAGTGAAAAAGTTAAGGTTATGTTTTTCTTGCCTTGGTAGTGGACATTCTACTAGAAATTGCTGCCGTAGAAAACAATGTCAAATAAATGGTTGCCAAAGAAAACATAAATTGTTGCATGGTGAGTCAAGAAATTTTGGGGAAAATAATTCAAATGCAAATAATGTTGTTACTCGAAGTGATCCAGATGCTGAACCAGTGTTGAGTTGTGTGTCCAGTATTAGTGAAAAATGAACTTGGTGTTCCGAGTGCTGCCTGTGAAACTTTATGGTCCGAATTGTGTTCTTGAAACTTTTGCCTTGCTGGATGAAGGTTCGTCGGTGACCATGATAGACAGTTCGTTGGTGAGACAACTAGGACTTAGTGGTCGTCAAAGCAATGGTGGTTGATCTTCATGTGAGTGGTGCTTCAAAGAAGAGGAAGTATGCTTTGAGAAATGTGTATGGTGTTCCAAATTTGAAGTTGCCCACTCAAAGCTTTAATATGAAGTCAACTACACATTATGATGTTCCAGTGCCGCCATACAGCAACATTACGCCTAAGTTGCTCATCGGACTTGATCACAGCCTTTTGGGGTTGCCAGATGAAGTCGTGCTATTGGAAGAAGGTGGACCTTACGCAGCAAATACACACTTAGGATGGGTATTTTTTGGTCAGGTGTGTGGAAGACAGCCTAGATCCCACACATGTTTGCTGACAGCTCGGCCAGAGCAAAATTTATATGATTTGGTGTCATTTTACTTCGAAACGGAAAATTTTGGTGTCAAAGCCCTGCCGACAATAGAGAGTAAGGATGATATTCGTGCTAGACAGTTGCTCAAGGATTCAACGATAAAGGTTGCCGGACGATTTCAATCTAGACTACAATGGCGTGATGAAAATGTGGTCTTGTCGGATAGCTATTCCATGGCCTTTAATCGACTTGTTGGTATTGAGCTGTCAACAAAGGGTATGTACGAAAGTTGACATCATCTGAAATGTCTATTTGTAGCCCGAGAACTTGGTATCTGCTACATTTTAGTGTATTGAATCCCTTGAAGCCTGGGAAACTTCGCCTCGTGTTTGATGCTGCCGCTAGAGTCGAAGGAGTTTCTTTAAATTCGAGATTATTGAAAAGTTCTCAACAATACAAACCATTGCCTGCCGTTTTGTTCAATTTTCGAATGAGAAAAGTTGCTGTCTGCGCAGAAGACAGATGTTCTCAAAGATTTCTTTGGCGTGAAAATGAAGGATGTTCTCCAGATGTATTTGAGATGACTGTGATGACTTTTGGAGCCGCTTGTTCGCCATATATTGCTCAATATGTAAAAGAGACCAATGCCCTAGAATTTCGTGAGCGTTACCCCAGAGCAGTGAAGGCCATTATCGACAACCATTATGTAGATGATTTTGTTGACAGCTTCGAAACTTCAGCTCGAGCCATAGAAATATCAATGCATGTGCGAGAAATACACAAGTCAGCTGGTTTCGAGTTACGCAATTTCACATCGAACTCAAAAGAGGTCGTCGTGGCTCTGGAGGGTAATTTAGGAAGGAATGTCAACTTCTGTGATGATTTAGCCGATGTTCAGTTTTGCACGGAAAAGATTCTAGGCGTGTATTGGCATCCTGGTGACGACGCATTTAAGTTCGAGCTGAAGTTCCATCGTGTGAAACCAGACATCATCAGTGGAGAAAGATGCCCGACAAAAAGAGAATTGTTGAGTGTTGTCATGTCGGTATACAATCCCCTGGGGTTGTTAAGTCACTTCATGGTAACTGCTAAGTTGTTGCTAAGAGATGTCTGGAGATATGATATTCGTTGGAATGAAGATATCCCTAATGGTCTGTACGACATATGGAATAATTGGCGTGATGAGTTGAATAATGTTGCCAAAGTGAGTGTTCCTAGACACTACTTTAAAAGTAGTTTGCCTGAAAAAGTCGAGTTGCATGTTTTCGTCGATGCCAGCGGAGACGCATTTAGTGCCGTTTCGTATTGGAGGTCAATAAAGTCAGATAGTGAAATTGAAGTCACCTTTATAACCTCAAAGACCAAATGTGCCCCGCTGAAATCAATGACTATACCGAGACTTGAACTACATGCTGCCGTATTGGGTACTCGTTTGCTGTGCACCATCGAAAAGGAACATTCGGTCAAGGTTTCACGTCGAATTTGCTGGAGTGATTCTTCAACTGTCATCAATTGGATAAATTCTGACAACCGAAGATATAAGCCGTTTGTCGCCCATAGAATCACAGAGATTTTAGATTCCACACGTCCTACCGATTGGAAATGGTTGCCTACAAATTTGAATGTTGCCGATGAAACAACAAGAGCAAACAGAAATATAGACTTCTCTTTTAATTCCCGATGGTACCAAGGTCCACAATTTTTGCATCAGCCGGAGGAAGATTGGCCCGAAATGATATCAATCTCCAATGATGAAACGCCTGAGGAAGAGCTTCGTTCAAAATTTGTGTTAACGGTCAGTACAAATGTTGTTATTGATTTTAATCGTTTTTCTTCTTTTCTCAGGATAAAACGTACGATGGGTTATGTCCTGAGATTCATCGAACGATATTTGAAGAAGAAAATTGGTGAGGGTGAAAATTGTCTAACAGTCGCCGAATTGAAGGATGCCGAAACTGTTCTTTGCCGCCTATCTCAACGTGAAAGTTTCGCCTTCGAACTGTGACGCTGGCTGCGACGTGAGTTTCTCCTGGGAGGAATAGCGAATTTAACCACTGGCAACAAACCCAAACGACCAAACAGAAACACCAACAATTTAATTTAATACGGGTTTATTGCTTAACTCGCGCGTTTATTTCTAATAAAAATATAAAATTAAAACTTACAAAAATGTTATGAGCCACACGACTTAAAGCAGTCTTTATCCCTCACGAACTAAATTTATTAAAAGGGCGACAAAATAAACTACCATTAAATTATTTGCACTACAAAATTTCTAACGGTTTCGTTCCAACATAAAACCTGTTTTGAACCAACTCAATGCAATAGAATGTGAGGAAAAAAGGGACTGCGGCAAATAAGTAAATCAAAACATAGAAACACTCACATGCAATCATATAGATGGCTGTGTCAATGACGTCACACTATCTCAAATACATCTGGAGAACATCCTTCATTTTCACGCCAAAGAAATTTTTGAGAACGTCTGTCTTCTGCGGCAACAACAATTTGGTGAAACATCTCTTTGATATCTGCGCAGACAGCAACTTTTCTCATTCGAAAATTGAACAAAACGGCAGGCAATGGTCTGTATTGTTGAGGACCTTTCAATAATCTCGAATTTAAAGAAACTCCTTCGACTCTAGCGGCAGCATCAAACACGAGGCGAAGTTTCCCAGGCTTCAAGGGATTCAATACACTAAAATGTGGCAGATACTAAGTTCTCGGGCTACAAATAGACATTTCAGATGATGTCAACTTTCGTACATACCCTTTGTTGACAGCTCAATACCAACAAGTCGATTAAAGGCCATGGAATAGCTATCCGACAAGACCACATTTTCATCACGCCATTGTAGTCTAGATTGAAATCGTCCGGCAACCTTTATCGTTGAATCCTTGAGCAACTCTCTAGCACGAATATCATCCTTACTCTCTATTGTCGGCAGGGCTTTGACACCAAAATTTTCCGTTTCGAAGTAAAATGACACCAAATCATATAAATTTTGCTCTGGCCGAGCTGTCAGCAAACATGTGTGGGATCTAGGCTGTCTTCCACTCACCTGACCAAAAAATACCCATCCTAAGGGTGTATTTGCTGCGTAAGGTCCACCTTCTTCCAATAGCACGACTTCATCTGGCAACCCCAAAAGGCAGTGATCAAGTCCGATGAGCAACTTAGGCGTAACGTTGCTGTATGGCGGCACTGGAACATCATAATGTTTAGTTGACTTCATATTAAAGCTTTGAGTGGGCAACTTCAAATTTGGAACACCATACACATTTTTCAAAGCATACTTCCTCTTCTTTGAAGCACCACTCACATGAAGATCAACCACCATTGCACTTTCTTGAGACGACTTACCACCATACCAGCTTAAATTCAACTTGCTTTGACGACCACTAAGTCCTAGTTGTCTCACCAACGAACTGTCTATCATGGTCACCGACGAACCTTCATCCAGCAAGGCAAAAGTTTCAAGAACACAATTCGGACCATAAAGTTTCACAGGCAGCACTCGGAACACCAAGTTCATTTTTCACTAATACTGGACACACAACTCAACACTGATTCAGCATCTGGATCACTTCGAGTAACAACATTATTTGCATTTGAATTATTTTCCCCAAAATTTCTTGACTCGTCATGCAACAATTTGTTATGTTTTCTTTGGCAACCATTTATTTGACATTGTTTTCTACGGCAGCAATTTCTGGTAGAATGTCCACTACCAAGGCAAGAAAAACATAACCTTAACTTTTTCACTTCCTTCCATCTATTCGACTGAGATGCAGGCAGAAAAGTTGGCAGCGGCGGTTGGGCGACGGAGCACGTTGCAGAGGAGGTGGCTGACTATAACGGAAGGCTGTAGGCTGATCACCGGTTACGTAAGATTGTGTTGTGACACTGGGGCGATTTGTGTCGACACCAGGCTGGGCACCGCTGGAACCACTATTCTCACTCTAAATGTTACCTGTAACCATTTGTGCTGAACTTGGTGTTGATGCAGCTTCCAGTGCGCGCAGAGAGTTCCCCAATTGTTGCTGCAACACTTGTTGTTTTTGTGGCGGCAAGTGTAAATTGTGTTGCAGAAGTTCCAGCAGTGGTAGGCACATTTGTCCCTCCGGCTGACGTGGAGGCACTGACTGGAACACCTTTAGGACCACTTGCACTTGTTTTTGTTGTATTTGGTGGCGATCTTGGCATCATATTTCCAGCATACAACAATTGAACAACAGGACTCGCAAATTCTAAAAATGGCAGCAAAATGTCACACACAAATTTACACCAGGTTCAATGGCGGCAAACAGCAATTTATAAAATGGCCGCAATTACAACTTTTAGCTCCACAAACTTGTTCAGAAAATTTCACACAAAATGGCTCCACTTTAATTTTCAGCACCACAAAAATTCCAGAAGAAAACTCTCCAAAATGGCCTCACAATTAACTTTACATTTCAGAAAAGTTCGCTCCGCAATGCGAAATAGAATTTGATTGCGAAATAAATTTCGACGCTGTCTGCGACGTGAGTTTCTCCTGGGAGATTTAGCGAATTTGACCACTGGCAACAAAACCAAACGACCAAAACAGAAACACCAACAATTTAATTTAATATGGGTTTATTGCTTAACTCGCGCGTTTATTTCTAATAAAAATATAAAATTAAAACTTACAAAAATATTATGAGCCACACAACTTACCGCAGTCTTTATCCCTCCCGAACTATGTTTATTAAAAGGGCGACAAAATAAACTACCATTAAATTATTTACATTACAAAATTTCTAACGGATTCGTTCCAACATAAAACCTGTTTTGAACGAACTCAATGCAATAGAATGTGAGGAAAAAAGGACTGCGGCAAATAAGTAAATCAAAACATAGAAACACTCACATGCAATCATATGGATGGCTGTGTCAATGACGTCACACCGTCGCCCATATGATGCTGTGTGGAAACTAATATAAAAGCGACAAAAATAAATGAACAAAATATATATGATCGGCAGCGACAAACTGGATACTTTAAAGTCTTGTGATTCCATCCCGAAAAACAATGAATTGTACACTTTGTCGCATTATATTGATGAGACTACCGTGATGCGAGTATATGGACGTATTGATGCCGCCGGTTGTTTGCCTATTGAAGCCAGACGACCCATAATACTTTCGACAAAGCATCGCCTAGCCAAACTTATTGTTGTTCATGAACATAAACTGATGAACCACCAGAACTTTGAGGCCACTATTGCCGCCATAAGAAGACGATATTGGATTCCTCGACTTCGAAAACTATTGAAAAGTTGTATCTCCAAATGTAATGTCTGCAAGCTACGCCGTGCCTCTCCAGTGCAGCCATTTATGGGTTCCGATGAGGTCCGATGAAGAAGAACCATTAACGCCGAATCATTTCTTGTTGGGCCATCCTAATATGCCGGAAACGCCAGTCAGAACAATTGTTGCCAAGCCAGCTGTGCTGAAGAAACAGTGGCGTATCTCACGACAGCTTCGTGACCACTTTTGGAAAAGGTGGATTGCCGAATATTTGCTCACACTTACTAGAAGAGCCAAATGGTGCCAGTACACAAAGCCCGTAGCCCCAGGTGACTTGGTATTAATTTGTGATCCTGATGTCTCCCGTCGTGAATGGAGAAGAGGTCGAGTTCAAGAGGTGTACGCTGGCAAGGATGGTGTCGTCCGACGAGCTGAAGTCGCTACGACCATTGGAATCCTGAAACGCCCCGTCTCTAAACTTGCCGTCCTAGATATTGAATAGTGAATCGGGTCGATTCACGGGGGCGGGGATGTCGCTGCCGATCATATATATTTTGTTTATTTATTTCTGTCGCTTTTATATTAGTTTCCACACAGCATCATATGGGTGACGGTGTGACGTCATTGACACAGCCATCCATATGATTGCATGTGAGTGTTTCTATGTTTTGATTTACTTATTTGCCGCAGTCCCTTTTTTCCTCACATTCTTTGCATTGAGTTCGTTCAAAACAGGTTTTATGTTGGAACGAAACCGTTAGAAATTTTGTAATGCAAATAATTTAATGGTAGTTTATTTTGTCGCCCTTTTAATAAATTTAGTTCGTGAGGGATAAAGACTGCGGTAAGTTATGTGGCTCATAGTATTTTTGTAAGTTTTAATTTTATATTTTTATTAGAAATAAACGCGCGAGTTAAGCAATAAACCCATATTAAATTGAATTGTTGGTGTTTCTGTTTTGGTCGTTTGGGTTTGTTGACAGTGGTTAAATTCGCTATCCCTCCCAAGAGAAACTCACGTCGCAGCCAGCGTCGAATTTTTTTCGCATTGCGGAGAGTTTTTTTCTGGAATTTTTGTGGTGCTGAAAATTAAAGTGGAGCCATTTTGTGTGAAATTTTCTGAACAAGTTTGTGGTGCTAAAAAATTTAATTGCTGCCATTTTTAAATTGCTGTTTGCCGCCATTGAATATGTGTAAATTTGTGTGTGACATTTTGCTGCCATTTTTAGAATTTGCGAGTCCTGTTCGATTGTTGTATGCTGGAAATTTGATACCGAGATCGACACCAAATACAACAAAAACATGTACTAGTGGTCCTAAAGGTGTTCCAGTCAGTGCCTCCACGTCAGCCGGAGCGACAAATGCCGCCAACAGCCGCCATATTATAATAACTTTTTGATGCCGCCATTGCCAAAAAAGTTATATGACTTGCCGAGTTTTAGTGGTGTTCCTGAAGACTGGCCAATGTTTTCAACAGCGTTTGAGCATTCGACGGCAGCGTACCAATACAAAGCAAGATAAACGAATTTCAGGAATTATGTGGTAAATTATCCTTACAGTTTAACATGGAAAATATTAATACTGTCCACTTTAGCAGGAAACCTCAACAACTTGGTATCATTATTAACAACATCTGATTAAGTCAAACAGATACAATTAAATATCTTGGCGTAACTATCACCTCTAGTGGTTCCGCTAAAGTACATATGAATCCAGCTGCAAATTCTTAA